CAGGGTTCTGCCCTTAAGCCACTGCTAAATGAATACTTCCCTTTCAGGATCCCTTGTATTTTACCTAATATTCTGTATTGGAGGGCAGTGATTCTCACATAACTATGTGCTTAAGATCTTCAGAGCAGCTGATTCAGTAGGTCTGGCAAGGCCTGAGATCTGCATTGCCCCAAGATGGCAGATCATTCTGAGAATAAGTTGCCTAGTGGTTAAGAATATAAGCATTGGATATCTCTGATGAATATAGATACTAAAGTTCTCAACACAATATTAGCAAACCAAATTCAACAATACATTAAAAGGATCATACCCTATGATCAAGTGAGATTTATATCTGGGATGCAAGGATGGTTCAATATACACAAATCGAGTGATGCACCCAATTAATGAAAAGACAAAAATATATATGATCATCTCAATAAACACAGAAAAATATTTGACAAAATTCAACATCCTTCATGATAAAAACTCTCAACAAATTGGGTATAGAAGGAACATACCTCAACACGATAAAGGGTATGTACGACAAAACCACAGCTAACATCATACTCAATGGGGTAATGTTTTCCTCTATAAGATCAGGAACAAAACAAGGTGCCCACTCTCTTCACTCCTATTCAGCATAGTACTGGAAGCCATAGCAAGAGCATTAGGCAAGAAAAAGAAATAAAAGGCATCCAAGTCAGAAAGGAAGAAGTAAAACTGTCTCTATTAGATAACATAATCTTATATATAGGAAATTCCAAAGATTCTACCAAAACACTAGTAGATCTAACCATGAATTCAGTAAAGTGTCAGGATACAAAATCAACATAAAAATCAGTCACATTTCTATACAACAAACAATAAACTACATGAAAAAGAAATAAAGAGGACTTCCGGTCAAGATGGCGGGTAGGTAAATGCGGTATCGCGTCCTCCCACAACCACATCAAAGTTACAACTAAACTACAGAACAACCATCATTCAAAACCGCCTGAAATCAAGCTGAATGGAAGTCCTACAACTACGGAATTAAAGCAGCAGCCACATCCAGACTGGTAGAAGGGGCGGAGGCGCGAGGGGCTGGTCCCACACCCAAGTGTGGCGGATAAAAATCAGGAGGACACCTCGGCTGGGAAGGCCCTCCCTGAGGACTGAGGGGTCCCTGTCCCACACCAGGTGCCCTGCTCAGGGTTCCAGTGCCAGGAAGAGAGTCCCCATCACTTTTGGCTTGAAAAACCAGCAGGAACTGAGGCTCAGGGAGGCTGAAGCGGCTGGAGCCCCAGGCAGCTCCTTAAAGGGCCCGCGCACAGACTTATCTGACTCTCTCCCTCTAAGGTTGGAGGGGACGCAGCTCGAGGGGCACCAGAGACACACAGGGGAGAACTCAGCTGTTTGGCATTGGAGCGAGGGCTGGAGAGGGGGCTTTCTCCGGGACAAACGTGCTGTTAGAGGCCTTTGTTCCTTTGGTGAGCCCTTCCCTGGGCGGCAGACAGAAGCCATATCTGGGACTCCAGCAACCTGGCTCACACTGGTAGCCCCGCCCTGCTGACTCCCTGAGGCCCTGCCCCATCCCACCCAACTTTCAGGCCCACCCAAGCTGTTGCCACTTGCTTAACCATAGGATTGGTCTGTCTTGGATCCTGCTTCAGGTTTTTCCTAAATTCTTTCAAACGAGCAGCATCTGGTCTCAGCGAGCCCCATACCTCTCGTTAAGTAATACACTGAAACAAACAGGGAGGCAGCCAAAATGAGGAGACAAAGAAACAGGTCCCAAATGAAAGAACAGAACAAAACCCCAATAAAAGAACTAAGAGAAATGGAGGTAAGCAACCTAACAGATACTGAGTTCAAAATACTGCTTCTAAGGATGCTCATTGAACTTAGTGAGAACCTCAGTGAACTTAGGGAGGGCCTCAAGAGCATAAAAAAGGACCAGTTAGAAATCATGGATACACAGTTAGAATTGAAGGAGGCATTAACTGAAATAAAGAATAATTTACACAGCTTCAATAATAGAGTACGTAAATCCAAGAAGGAAACCATCGATTTGGAATATAAGGAAGCAAAAAATGCCCAATCAGAACAGCAAAAAGAAAAAAGAATCCAAAAAAATGAGGAGAGTGTAAGGAGCCTCTGGGACAACTTCAAGCATGCCAACATTCGCATCTTGGGGGTGCCAGAAGGAGAAGAGCGAGAACAAGAAATCGAAAACCTGTTTGAAACAATAATGGCAGAAAACTTTCCTAACTCGGCGAAGGAAACAGACATAGAAGTCCAGGAAGCACAGAGAGTCCCAAACAAGATGAACCCCAAGAGGCACACACCAAGACACATCATCACCAAAATGCAAAAGGTTCAAGACAAAGAGAGAATCTTAAAAGCAGCAAGAGAAAGGCAGTTAGTTACCTACAAGGGAGTTCCCATTAGGCTGTCAGCTGATTTCTCAAAAGCAACTTTGCAGGCCAGAAGGGAGTGGCAAGAAATATTCAGAGTGATGAAAAGCAAGAACCTACAACCAAGATTACTCTATCCTGCAAAGCTGTCATTTAGAATCTATGGCCATATAAAGACTTTCCCAGACAAGAAAAAGTTAAAGGAGTTCATCACCACCAAACCGTTATTATATGAAATGATGAAGGGTCTTTTTGAAGAAAAAGATAAAATATATGTACAAACAAAATGGCAATGGATACATATCTATCAACAATGGAATCTACAAACAAAATGAACAGGTAGAACAGAAACATTCTCATAGATACAGAGAACATTTTGTTGGTTGCCAGTTGGTAGGGGGACTGGGAGAATGGGTGAAAAAGGTGAAGGTATTAAGAAGTACACATTCATTGCTAGACTGACAAACCTCAAAGGGAAAGGGGTTGGGGGGGTGGGAAGAGATAAACCAAAGAACTTATATGCATAACCAATGGACACAGACAATAGTGTGGGAAAAGGTGGGAGGGGCGCGAGAGTGGGGAGGAGGAGGTCAATGGGGGAAAAATGTGGAACATCTGTAATACATTTTACATCCAACAATAAAGATTAAAAAAAAAAAAAAAAGAAATAAAGAAAATAACCTCACTGTTCAGTGCAATCCCTATAAAAATTCCAATGGCATTTTTCACAGAAATAGAAAGAACAATCCTAAAATTTGTATAGAACCACAAAAGATCCCAAATAGCCAAAGCAAGCTTGAGAGAAAACAAAACTAGAGGCATCACACTTTTTTATTTTAAACTATATTACAAAGCTACAGTAATCAAAACAGTATGATATGGCGTAAAACCACATACATTTGACCAGTGGAACAGGATTAAGATCCCAGCAGTAAACCCATGCATGTATGCTTTCACGAAGCTTAGCCCTAGGGGCTCTTGATTTCAGCTGTTGGTCAGAAAGTCAAGCTCCCAAGGGTTCTCAGTCAACTAAAAGAATAAAGGTGATTCCTTAGTAGGCAGCTTCCTCTAGGGCAGAACAGGCCTGGCAGATGCTAGTGCTTGGAGCCATGGGGAGCCTGTGTGGAGTTCTATGAGAGGCATCTGGCTTAGAGCTTGGAAGCCTGCAGTGAGGTGCCCACTTGGCTGGTTTAGCTTGGAAGGGGTGGAGGGGGCGAGAGGAAAGTGCACACTTCTCAGGAAGATTCTGCCCAGGGCTCTCAGAGGCCTTTCAGAGACCCACGCTTCCCCAGCAGCTAGTCCATCTGGGCTGGTGCTCGTGGAGTGTTGGGAGCAGGATATTTTAGATGTGTCAAAAGTGACGCATGTTGAAAAGTGCCTTCAGCCTCTCTGGGAACTCACAGTTCACATTGGCAGCTAGGATATGCCAGGCTCTTTGGAAGAAATTGAACTCTGGAAGAAATTGGGAAGTCTTTAAAACAGGCAATTCCTGCTTGTCTGCCCAGACGTGGGTGGTAAAGAGGTGGACTCTGTATGTGACAAAGAACCACAAGATCACTGAAGATGGGGCTGAGATGTGCCAATGCCTGAGCTCTTGGCAGAAAAATGTGGCATTTAGAAGCATCAGGAAGGAGCAGGAACATACCAAAACAGAAGTGGGCAAATGGGGGCCTGAGGGTGGAGTTAACAGAGCTCACTGCCCACAGCACCGGGGCAGCAATCTTGGCTTATTAGGTGGTACCTGCCAGATCTGAGCAGGGGCAGCAGCCAGAGCCAGTCGGAAGCTGGAGGTAAGCCCAGGCCTTGGCCAGAGTGAGGCTGGAACAAAGCTCCAGTGTGCCTGGATTTGAAAACGCCCCAGGGAATGTGTTACTAGAATTTAGCATCTACCCTGAAGATAATGCATCCTAAGAGGAGGGTGCCTCGGTATTCTGTTTTCTGCATGGCTCTGTTCTGTATGTAGTGGTACTGGCTCTCTGCTTCTTCAGGTAGATGGCTCCCCCAGGCTCCTTAGAAGCTGGGGGTGGAGGGGCTAAGGTGGTGGCCAGTCTGGATCATGATTTTCCAGAAGGAGGAGGATGGAATTACCCCACAAGGGGTTGGGGTAGGGCTAGTAGGGCCAGTCTTTTGTGAAGGGGAGGGAGGAGAGTGGAAAGAAGAGATCCTGATTTTGGACCACTGGGGCTCTGGGGGTGGTCGTGCAGGACCATCCTGACCAGTCCAGTCTGTCTTCTGCAGAAGAATGAATGCGTGGAGGGTGTCAGAGATGGAGGGAGAAATTTGCATCAGCTCTACCTGCTCCCAAGGACTCTCTAGAGAAGACACACTCTCTCTTATGATCACTGTCCTTCTGCCAATCCCCTGCACAACTCCTATAGCCAGGAGAGAAAGAGGGAGGAGGGAGTTCACAGTCATCTTCCTTGTCATTATCACTACCGACATCACCAATGCTTGGACTTCTTAGATAACCTGTTTAACTTGTTGAGGTCTGAACTTGTCTTTCCACCTCCTTCCTGCATCCAGATTTACTGACTTTCTCAGTCTGCTCCCACGTCTCTCCTCTTCCAGGCACTTGCTCACCCCCTTTGAGTCATCTTCCACTCCTCCCTCCTCTTTACTTACCCCCTTATCAACAACTGCAACTCACTGCGTCAGCAACCAGCTCCACTGCTTCCTTCCAGGTAGAATCTGTTCTAATCTGTCTGTCCACACCCTCCCCATCCTGCCAAACTCTGCTCCAGCCCGAGCCACTTACAGCAGGCCCCAGGCCACCCCACCCTCTCTCCCCTGCCTCCAAGACTGCGCTTGCAGATCTCTCTGCCGGGAGGTTCCTCTCCCCTTCCTGCAGCTCAGCCCTCCGCCTGGAAGCAGGGAGAAGGTGTGCTTCTCGAGGCTGCAGGAAACCCTGACAACCGGCCAGACCACACTCTTCTGTGTGCTCCCAGGAACCTGGGCGCCCCGAGGGAGGGGCCCTTTGCCTCCTTGCTGAACTTGCTGCCCTTGCTGCCCTCCCGACTGGGTTGTTATCTAAACATGGCTTGTGCATCCACGTGGTCCTGGCATGTAGCACAAGGCTGGCACCGGGGTGGATTATTTGCTGAACTGAATGGACAGGGTATTTCATTTTTCTGCTCTTCCCAGGGAAATGTTTGCCACAGTGAGATAAAATTGAAAGGAAGAAAGTGCACAGGCAGGGAACTGATACAGTGTCACTTCTAATTCCCACAGTCCCCTTCCGGTGGCCATGAGCTACGGGAACACGAACACAGCGACCCCGGCCTCTGCCTACCAGGAATGAGCTGGAAAAAAAGGCACTACCAGTAGGCGGAACGTTCCGGACATTCATTGCAATCATTGGTTGTCCTTTGTTTTGTCCGGTCTCAAAGTCTGCCAGACCTGAACCAGTCTCTTCCCCTTCGTTCCCTTCCTCTTCTGTAGCTCCTCACTTATTTTAAGCCTTATAATTCAGGTTGTAAGAGTTGTCTTTCTGAAGCTGTCTTTGACCCTGACCTGTTTGTGGAGATATTAATAGGGGTCATGGGGAAAAAAACAGTTTTGTGGTCAAATAAATGTGGGAAATATTGTATTAAGGGACATTAATCAGGCTTCCTGATGGCCAGAGATGTTAAGACTCTTACTGCTTTCTGTGTATTTAATCTCTGGTAGGGGCAATTGAAATGCAGGAGTTCTCAAACTCAGTGACTTTGGAGTGAGCTCCCCCCTGCCACCGCTCAAATGCCTACTTGGGGCCAAGCATTTCTGGGACTAATACCCCCTGGGACACACCTGAGGAAATCCTGTCTGAAGACAGTTTCCCCCTGTGCCTGTGTCCTGTGGAGCGGAACTCATCCACGTCTCTGTGTTGGTGTCTTGGAGGCTGGTGCCGGCTGCTCCAGGGCCCGTGCCGGCTCGGCTTGGTGTGTGGGAGTCAGGCCCGGGCCTCCAGAGGCCCAGCGGCTTCTCAGCTGTGTGCTGTAGGTGGTGATGCAGAAAGGTGCAAACCACACAACATCCTGCTGCAATTATTGTTGTGGTCGTCCCGTCGCCGGGAGAGGACCGCTCTCTTGATACTTGTTTTTGTGTGTATTTCCTTTCTGTCTTTTTCCATGAAGATATATGTCATGCAAGATTTTGCTTACACAGAACAGAAACATTCTCATAGATACAGAGAAATTTTGTTGCTTGCCAGATGGGAGGGGGGTTGGGGGAATGGGTGAAAAAGGTGAAGGGATTAAGAAGTACAAATTGGTTGTTAGACTGATAAACCTCAAAGGGAAGGGGGTTGGGGGGTGGGAAGAAATAAACCAAACTTATATGCATAACCAATGGACACAGACAACAGTGTGGGGAAAGGCAGGAGGGGGGCGGGAATGGGGAGGAGGGGGTCAATGGGGGAAAAATGAGGAACATCTGTAATACATTCAACAATAAAGATAAGTTAAAAAAAGATTTTGCTTACAGGTTTTCTTAAAGTACAGAGGGTTTGTTGATTAAAATTTATGGAACAAATAGAAACGGGGGCACTTGAGAGCAATATTTTAGGAAATGGTGTTTTGTTTTGTTTTTTAAATAGGTAAATGCAATGGTTTTCAAATTGTGCTGCTGGGATCTGCAGCCCCAGAGCCCTGCAGAAGCACTGTGGGGGTTGGGAGGCTGCTGTGGGGTGTGGAGGGGATGCAGAAGTGGGGAGAGCAGGTTCCCGAACTGCCCACACCAGTTTCAACCCAAACAACACTGTTTTCAGGTTTTAATGTTTTCTGCTTGAGAGTTTGTAGGAGGGCTTCCATGGCTGACATATGTTCAAAAACCACAAACCCAGACCAATCACTCATTTAACAGATTAAAACAAAACAAACACTGTGGTGCAGACAAGTGAAAACATATGCTAGTCAATGACATCTGGATACTAGATCTAGAACCCTTCCCAAAGCACCGCCTCGAATGCTCTTTCGACACACTCCTGCATGTGTTTATTTCCTTCTGACTCAGCGGTTTCCAGAGAGAAGAATAAAATACAGCAAGAAACGAATAGTGGCGGAGCTATGTGGTAAATCCACCCATAAACGATACACGTTTGGGGGAAAGGTACAGAGCGACCCATCCGCCCCTCATTTCGTCTGTTTCACTGCTGATCTTCAGCTCGGCCTTGAAAGGTAAAGAAGTAAGTGTATGCTGAGAGCAAGGGCTGCTTCAGCCAAGAATATGTCATAAGATACAACACCCCAGTCTCCCGTGAAACGCACTGTCTAATAGTGATTGCAGCATCCTGTCAATATCCAGCCCACTGGGAAGCGTTCTGCAAACGGGCAGCTCCTCAGCGGGCCTCCTGGGAGTGCTGGAGGAATTCAAGAACAGAGTGACCGACACATGCCCAGGGTGATTGTTGGGGTGGGGGTACCTCCGAGGAGGGGGCCACATGCACCCTCTGTGCTCAGTGCAGTGGTGGGGTGGGGTGGGGCAGAGGAGACAACAGAAGGGTTCAGAAGTACTTCTTTCTCTTTTTAAAAATTTTCAATCCTCACTCAAGGACAAGACATGCTTAGAGAGAGGAAGGGGGAGAGAGGAGCATTGGTGTGAGAGGGAAACGTGGGTCGGTTGCCCTTTGCACGCACCCTGACTGGAGTCAAACCAGCAACCTTTTGCTGCAGGGAGGAAGCTCAACCAACTGGGCCCCTCTGGTGGGGGGTGGGGCCGGAAGCACCTCTCTCAGTCCTTCAGGTTGCCTGGCTGTTTGGAAGCGTGGTCCCTTTGCTACAGGGATGCTAATGCTCATTGTGCCCTCCTGTGCCCCCTGCTGTTCACTGACTTCTCACAGAACACTCCGAGGTAGCCAGAGGTATCCTCAAACCCAAGCAGTTTGGTCTCAGAGTTGACATTCTCTCTTTTTTTAAAGGCAATGAAGCTTATTTATTTACATGAAGTATAATTCATGCCCAGGCAGGTGCACAAATCCTAAATGTATTTCTCCAAGGGTTCCAAGCTACATATGATTATAACCAGCCACCACCTGAGCGACACAGAGAACATTTCCGTTCCACGCCCTCCAACCTGTCTCCCAGCAATGCCACCGGAGATGTGACCACTATTCTGACCTCCGTCGCCGGAGATCGGTCTCGCCTGCTCTTGAACTTCACGTGGGTGGACTCACGGCACATGCGCTGTTGTGCCTGGCTCCTCTGATGCAACAGGACACGAGGCCCATCGGTTGTTGCATATGCAGAGCCTGCGTCTTGGCCATGATGCTGCACTGCCTCCCCTTAGGTCAGCCCCTCCATGTCACCTTCTGGAAATGTCTCCTTGGAAAGGGGGTTGGGCTGTGCATGTTGGCTGAGCCTGAAGGGGTATAGTTGAGTTCAGGGGTTTTAGATATCTCCCAGGTGCTGTGCAGTCCTGGGTCCCTCAGAGGAGTCCAAGGTCCAGGACTCCTTGGTGTAACCACATGTTCCTCTTTCATACGTGTGTTTCACCTCCTCAAACACGGGGGCAGCCTTCTCAGGTGTCATTTAGGGTCGTGGTTTTCCACTGAGGGGCAACTTTGCCCTCCTCTTCCACCCTCTCTAGCTGGGGGCATTTGACAATATGGTAGCATTTGGAGACATTTTTGGTTGTCAAGACTGGGGGATAGGGTGTTACTGGCGTCCTGTGGGCAGAGACCAGGAATGCTGTTGAACATGCTACAATACACAGGCGAGTCCCCCACCCCCACCCTCAAAGAATGATCCAGCCCCGAATGTCACCGGCGCCCCTGTCAAGAAGCCCTGGTCAGCACGAATCTGCAGGCTGTTCCCTTTCCTGGTGCCAGAAGAGAAGCAGCAGGACGGGATGGCAAGAGCCCTGGATCTAGAGTTAGAAGATCCCTAGAAGTTCAAGGCCCCACGCAGTCGCCAACTACAGCCACCTGACTTGTTAAATCACTTCACTTCTGTGAGGTCTCCTTCCCTCATCTTCCGCTGGGAGCTGTGCCCCCGCGTCGCCTACCACAGGCTTGTTGTCGGGATCAAGTGAGAGTGTCAGTGGAATCGCTTTGAAATGCTTACATGCTATTATTTAATTTGACGGTGACAGCAAGCAAGCTTACACGGGTGTTTTTGTGTCTCATGTCAGTGCAAGAATATTTCCAGCAGGGGTTCTGTTTCCAGGGGCACAGCCTCATTCTCACGCTGGTGTGGGAAAAGAGCGCACACACAAAGGGCGTTTCCTGCAACTGCGGGCAGGGCTTCAAAGGGCCCTGCCATTCTCCAGGCTGCGCTTCCCCACGCTGGGGCTGGCATCCAGACCTCGTTTGCACTCTTGTGAGCCCGCTACAGGAGTGCACTTCAAAAAAGAACAAGGTGTTTTTGTGCTGGGTCTTGGGTTTGACTATGTTCCACGAGGCTGAGGGCTGCCGGCCCTCTGGGGTGAGGATACAGGAGGTTATAAGGCTCCCTGACGGAGCGCTGTTCAGCTGACTGTGCTGCCACGTGGCAGAGGCGTGGAGAGGCCACGCTCTCTGTGAGCAAGGGGTAGAGCCTGGTGCCCTGCAAAGCCCATGCCAAAGGAGCATTAGCTCTTTATTAAAAATGGTGGAGACTTTGCCTTTTGAGTAAGGAAGAGAATGAGGTGGGGCAGTAAATGGTCCTGTTGCAGTTTGGTGTTGAAGAGAAACAGTGTGGTGATGAGAGTGTGGGACGTGGACACCTGGACATCGTGTTGAAATTAATTAATGACAACATAAGCAGTGCTGCTTGGGACCTCAGTACAGGG